CCACAACCTGCACAGCCACAAACTGCACAATCACGGCCTGCCCAGCCACAACCTGCACAACCATGGCCTGCCCAGCCCCACGCGGCACCGCTGCCTCAGGGCCAGGGGCCGGCTGCGGGGACTCCCAGTACCCCCAGTCTGGCTACAGGAGGAGAGTCACAGAACACCAACTGCAGCCATTTCTGATCTTCGAGTCGTTTACCTTTTTGAAAGGAGGATTTGATAAACAGCACGGCTACACAAGCTACATTGGAAGTTTCTGTAGAAGATAAAATGCTACTAAAAGCTAAAACGTAAGTGGGGAACAGAAGACACCCAAATCAGGGCTCCCAGGTCATAACTCTGAACCAGCTACAACATTAGGACATTCGGTTTGCACAGGGAATTTCCAGGTCATTGGTTTTTCCTTAAAATTCATAGAATCAAGCTTAGAAATTCAGTCCTTCTAAGAGAGAGATTTCGTTTTTATTGGTATCCTGTTGCCTCTGGTGATTTCCTGTGAGCAGGACAATTAGGCAGAACATGGAACAGTTACAAAACAGGATGGGCTTGGGTAGAGTCTTGCAGAATTTACAATACTCGTGCTTTGTAAACCGAAGCACCGGGAGACCAGAAGGGAGCCCATGTAACGCACTCACTGTGACTGCAACCCATAACACATGTTTTGGTGTTGTCCCTGCACAGAAGTTCATTCCTGGAACGTGTCTGGGTTTCACACTGTGCTGTCCGGCCTGTCCTAGAGCAGCCCCATGACAGCAGATGCTTTGTTTGACACTTTTACTGCCCAGAACTTGTTAAATCACCCACACGACACTCGGTGAGTTCCCCTGGATTTAAAGCTTTCCCTTGATGAAATAGCTAACACAGGGGTGATGCCACTAAAGAGAAATGCAAGGAGGTAAAATTCTTTCAATTATTAAAAACATTTTCACATTTCTGTTATGTCATTTAAAATACACTTTTCTTCCAAATTTGCTCCCATTTTCTCCTGCTGTGTAATAGCAGTGGCAGAAGTCAGGTACAAGTCTAAGCCAAAAGAGCTGGGGATAAGGAAAATCCTCTCCAAAATGCGACACTGAATCATTCTCTTCAGTCATCATCATCCTTCAAACGCTTCAGACTGGAGCTGCTCATACACACTGATGGTGTTGGTACTCCCTGGCCCCACCATGGCTGAATTCTCGCTGTTATTTCAGTGTCACAGCATTAATAAGGTTGGAAGAGACCTCTAAGATCATCGAGTCCAACGTCAACCCAACCCCACCATGGCCACTAAACCACGTCCCCAAGTGCCACATCCACGGCTTCTTGAACACCTCCAGGGATGGGGACTCCACCACTGCCCTGGGCAGCCCCTTCCAGTGCTGGACACCTTTCTTTCAGGAAAGAAATTCCTCCCAAAATCCAACCTAACCCTCCCCTGGCACAACTTGAGGCCATTTCCCCTTGTCCTATCACAGCTACCAGGGAGCAGAGACCGACCCCCCCTCGCTACCCCCTCCTTTCAGGAGCTGCAGAGGGGATAAGGTCTCCCCTCACCTCCTCTTCTCCACTTGAACCCCCCAGCTCCCTCAGCCGCTCCCCATCATTCGGCTGCTCCAGACCCCTCCCCAGCTCCCTTGCCCTTCTCTGGCCACGCTGCAGCCCCTCAATGTCCTTCTGGGAGTGAGGGGCAAGGTGCAGGTTCCCTGGTGCCCTCCTGCCCACACTGCCCAGCCTGGCATCGGCACCATCACTTGGGCTCTTGCAATTTTTACTTGTGTAAGTGAAAGCTTTTTTCCCCACCTCTGGTTTAAACTCAGGACTCCCCAGACCGAACAAATCCTTCCCAGTGGAACCACGCAAAGAAACCTCTCCTAAAGCTGCCTCCCCAGAGGCTTTTTCCAGCCAAAGCCCTCGTACCCCTGAACATTTATTCCACAATAAAACTCCTTCTGCTTCTCCAGCTTTGCAGAAGGCTCCTGAGCAGCTGCACTGCAGGGACAGGGGGGTTGGTACAGGACACACCAAGGCTCCCCCACACGGCCCCACAGGAGACTGCTCACAGTGGCCTAAAACCTCAGCCAAAGCGTCTGGGCTGGCCTCCCACGCTGGTGCTCATCGGTTTGAGCCAAAATAATTCATCCACTGCTGAGAATGAGAACAATCTGTCCTCGCTCCTTTTATTCCAAAAGCTGCATTTACCTTTCCCTCGCTGGACTCCAGCGCTGCAGAGTTTGGAGGGGGGAATTCAAGGAGGGGCTTTTTTGGCTCCCGTGAAAATATTCCCAATATTGGCCAAGATATAAATAGTGGAGGAGAAAAAACACAGGAGGGTCTTGGGGGTCTGCAACTAAAAGAGGACACTTCAATTGTTCGACTCTGATGGTGGCACCTGTCATTCTAGAATCATTATTATTATTATTATCATCATCATCTTCATCTTCATCAATTCTTGCTTGATACTAGAACTGAAAGCAAGGAGCTGCTCTGTGATTCTTGCCAAAC